CCTACAGAAACAACACGCAGCTCACGCTCCCTGTGTAAGTCCAGATGCCCTTTGAGATCCTCTCAGCCTGCCCTGTGCATGCTCTGGAGAGTTAGGTTTTCTTGTTTCCTCCTGTGTCCAGGTTCCTGCAGCCACCCATCAAGCTCTTGCTGAGTCAGCAGAGAACAGGGAACACCCTCCCAGCATCTGCTGAGGGAGAGGTCTGTTTAAGACCAGAATAGTACTCTTCAGAGTATCTCCAAATGGATGCAAACTATTGAATTTGTTGCTCTAGTTATCCTGAAAGGTCCACAATAACATTCTGAACCTACACAGAAAATGTGATTGGATATCTGCTGACATCAACATTCGTATTCCCTCTGGAACAACATGTTGTCAGCTGTGATCAAGACATGAGATCTTGGTCTGTAGCCCTGGACTGAAACTGTCTAAATCAGTAGCTTTCAGGTCACGGTCTGCAGATCCTCAGTTGTCCATGAAAGTCTTCCAAGAATTAAATAGGGTGTGAGAGAAGGACGTCTCTCCTGGAAACGGCTGGGGAAGATGGACTAAGCGAGACTTGCTTCTCTAATCAAAGCAGTGGAAGACCAATTCCATGAGATGCTGAGGGGCATCGTGCTAAATATGCTGGTGATGAGCATGCACAAGATCTGACAGACCCAGCCTTAAAGGAGCTTCTATTTGGATCATTTTGCTTGCTTCATTGGAATACTTTTTTGAATAAGCAGCAATATATTCCCTGCCATCCTGGATGCATGCCAGTAAAAGTCCTAAACTTTTCTTGCTAGCATCTGTATATAATATAAAGGGTCATTTATAATCTCTGTAAGCCATGATGGGGCCTTTCGTCACACTGCCTGAAGACTGCTTGCATTCTGGAGACTGTTCTTGCTGACTTTTGGCTTGCAAAGAGAAATCTTGGGGTGTTTTTTTTGTCTGTTGTGTTTGTCATAGTCACTGTGCTATTATATCTACAGTGAGTTCCAAGCTACATATCCTAATGCATCCTATGATCAGCTGTGTTTCTGTCTTTGTCTCATCTGTTTCTATGCCACAGTAAAAACCAAACACCTGAAAGTTGCATTTGTAGGAAAATTACACTATTTATGGGAAACCAAGTGTGTGATGTTTTGTAAATGGGAATGTACCTTTCACACCTTTGTAACCAAACTGTTCCTTCTGTTGGTAAAGAGAGAAGTCGGAGAAATCTGTTCATGTCAGATTATCTGATTATCTTTGGGGTCTTACCACTTCTTTTGCCCTCATGATCCATGCTGTGGTGGTTCTGCTTTAGAGGAGACTGAGAGTGCAGAGGTGACAAATGTTGTGGTACTTTATCACTGTCACTGCACTCTCAGTGCTCCTGCTGAGGAAGGTGGAAGGTTGTCCCTAGATTTGAACGAAGGATCTGTTATTTTGCCATGGGTTATCAGTCCTGTGCAGCCTGGCAAGCCCAGCTGATGGCTTCAGGTGAGGAAAGCAATGAATAGAGAGCCTCGGGGAAGCTTCTCACTTCCTGTAATGGTTGCTTCCTTTTATAACAGGTCCCTGAGCAGGTCATCTGAAGAAATGAACCTGGGAAATGGTAGCTTTCTCCCCTACCAATGTGCAGGTTTCTGTTCTGTGCACTGTAGTGTGGGAGCAGCCTTTACCTCCAACTGCTGCCTATGGCTCTGTCACTAGATTGCAATAAGGTCTGTCCAGCACATCTCACTTCCTTTTTCACTTTTTCAAGTCAGAAATGACACCTTTACTGCAAAATTCCTTGGACTTGCAAGGGGATACGTGTACCTGAGCAGCTTATTCCGAGGACCAGGTAGAGCAAAGGTATGAGAGACCTACTCGGACAACAGCAGTTTTGGACTCGTTTGGCAGGAAAAGCTGTGTGCACGCTGGCAGCACCCAGTGAATGAAAGCCCTGGCAAAACCAGCTTTGTAGGTCATTTAAAGTAATCAACCTGTCTTGTGGTTTTTGTCCTAGGCAGCCTGCACAGTGCCACCTGTTTAGCTCCAGATCCATAAAGGTAGTGCTGGGCTCCCAAACCGGTTGAAAAAAATACTTGAAGGAGTAAGATGACGTTAAATTTGGGTCTATGCTAGGGAAAGCTAAAGAGAGTAACAGTTGGTTTCCAATTTCTCCTTAGGAGTTGAGATTTGGAGCTGCCATTATACATTAACCAGATCAGATACACTGCCAGATTCCCTCTGGCAATTGTGGAGTCTGCCTCCAACACCTGCCTTTCTCTTCTGCATTGTGCCCGGGTGTGCAGTGGTGTTTCTCTTTGTTCACCTTCCCATGTCATTTGCCTCCAGGAATATGAAGGTCTCTAGTTTCAGCATTGGATATGGAGGGTTTTGCTCGGAGTGCAGTTGAAATTTTTTTTTAACCTTACACAGAACTGCTTTGTGTGTACCCAAGAAGGTGGGACTGGTGGTCTCAGAAGCCCACCAAAATTGGTATTAGAGTGAGATAATCGGGGTGGATAATCCAGCTCCACACCATGGAAAAGATACTTCTTCCCAGATGACTCTGTGATGGCAGAAGGCTGGCAGGACACACATACAAGCTACGTACTGGTTAAAGCATAGCATGTGTAAATAAATATTTGTTTTATTTGGATTTCATTGGCAAGCCAGAAAAATGGTCTTAACATGAGGGGAGGCACTCGAGTCCTTGATAATTATGCTCTGTTTTGAAATGTTCAGTAACTTTATTCTGAATTTGTTAGTATTCATGTGCCTTCGTGCTCTGTTACGTGTTGCTAGTGTGCATACTACTGCTTTGTTCCTCTCCTGTGGTGGGACCAATTCCTTTGCTCATTGCATATTAATGGAAAGTTTTGTTTTTCCATAACTTTAGGACATATGCCTCTGCCATTATCTTGCCAGGTTCTGTATGTGTGCAGTTTGTTTTGCCTGATATGAAATGGCTTGTGCAGAAGTGCTGTCCTTCCGATAGCTGTAAGCACCGTGCTAAAAACATACTCAAGGTAAATCACGCAGAGCTGTGGTTTCCCCAACCCTTCTCATACTCACCCTTTCTCCTGGCTGCTTTTCCTTCTATGCTCAACTGGCTGCTCCCATGGCATGAGGAGATCTTATCCAGCAATACCCACCTGAATAAACCCCATGACTAAATGGCTGATTGCACATGAAATTAAAAAGAAAACTTAACTTTGAATTATCACATTTCCAGACTTTAGCTCCAGTCTTTGTTTCTTCTGGTTTTGCTCCCTAAACTTTGTGCAGAAGTTGTGTTGAGCCTGTTAAAGGATTTGGTGTCATCGCATGAGCTGAAGCTTCACTAATCTTATCTTTTCCCCCCTGTTTTGCCCTGTGGTTCTATGATGCAGATGTTAGTAGAGGCATTTGGGTACTAGGTGTCTGATCCCTATATGCACACCATATAAATCTGAGAGAAGTGGTTCTTCAGGACTGCCCTGCCAGCCTGGCATCACCTGAGATGTGACTGTAGTCCACGCTTCCTGATGAGGAATCGCAAGCGGCTTTACAGAGAGCAGGAGCAGTGTCTGCAGGGAAAGGTGCATGGCTCTGCCTTGATGCTGCTGAGGGGCTCAGTGGCACTGGGTAGAAAGCCTCCCTCTCTCCGGGTGCCCCAGCTCACCCGTGCGGCTGCAGCCGAAGGTTGGGTGAGCAGCCTGCTGGCCCCAGCTCGCCCATTGTGGTCTGCAGTGCTCGGCTCAGCCGCTGGCATGTGTACCTCCTATTCATGGAAATGAGAGTTATCCAGAGAGCAGGGAGCCTCCTGCAGAGATAGGAGGGGGATCCAAAAAGGAAACAAAATGCAACAAATGCTGTAAACAGCAAATACTGGAAAAATTAAACTTCCATGGGGAAGGTGGGTTAGGGAAGGAGGAGGGCCTGTTTCCACTGTGCAAGCAGTTTCATGGTTTTTTATTTTAAAATTTTTTTTAGTATGTAAGGTTGGGGAGCCACTATGATACTGAGAGAAGAAGGGATAAACTGTAGTGGGGGGTTATTCCTTTAAGATGGATGAGAAGCCAGGACTCTTTTGCATGTGCAGGCAATGCTTGCACAAGCACTTTACATGTTTTGTGGCGCAAGCTGGTGTTTCCACTTCCCACTAGTGACCCCAGTTCTGATCCCCAATCAGTAGGAAAGTGGCTTTCGAATCTGTTGACTGTGTTGAGGTCCAAAAGCAAAAATGTGAACCAGTATTTGGCAAATATGAATGATACTTGCACAGGGAAAATCCGTTTTTTCCCCCATGAGCATGACACTGGAGCTTGAAAACATATTTTTCAGAGAAGATGGAAAAGGGTCTATGGGTCCCAATTCCCAGGGCTGGCACTGCACTTCCTGCCTTCTCATATACCTTATGGTGAGGAGATTTCTCTCACTCTTGTTTTCTTATGAGAGAGCACGAGACAGTAGTCCATCCTTCCCCCTGCATTTTCTCTTGCCCATTTTTAGACTGTAGCCTCACCAGGACAGCAGTATGACTTGTTCAGCACCCAGCTAGTTCAAGCCCTGCTGACAGTGAGCTCCACCACACCAGAAAGCAGAATTTTCTAACTCAGATGTTCAGAATGGTAGGAGGCTGGGGAATGATACCATAATGAGCAGGATGAAATTAAGACTAGTACAATGGGAACTGACTATCAGGAGATTTGGAACACTTTGGTTTTTTCTTCCTTTTTTTTTGTTTTTAAAAAAAAGTTCTATTGTTTATGATAACTAACAGAACTAAATTATGTACTATAAAACTCTGTCCTCTGAGGACCAAATGAGGCGTTACTGGATCTCTTGTGGTTCAGGTTGGCAGAAGCAGAGAATCTTTCTGCAGCTATTGGGAGGAGAGGGTGGGGTGAGAAATGGAGACTGCAAGTTAGGCTAGCTATGGCTGGCAGAAGAAACAACCCCACCCCCAGATACTTGGTCTGTTTTTAATGCAGTCTGATATATGTTGGTCCAGCTTGCTGTCTTACTGGGGCTAACAGTGTCCTTTCTCTCTGCAGGCATTGGTGTCACTATACGGTTACACGGACGGTTTCCTGCCAAGTGCAGAATGGGTCAGAAACAGTGATCCAGCGAGTTTACCAGAGCTGCCGGTGGCCAGGACCATGTGCCAACTTAGTGAGGTAAAAACCTTCATGTCTCATGTTGCCAAATTTTCCTGCACTTCTCATTAAATTGGTTAGCTTTTAAGTATGCACAGAGGGTTGAGATGAATGGGTCAGATGTGATATCCTGCTTCATGGTGGTGGAACGAAAGTATGCCGCTGGCGTTAGCTGCAGGGTAATTACACGTGAAGGTAAGTGTAGTATCAGGGACAACCTATGTGAAACAGTTTAGCTTAGGTTGTAATGCCAGTTGATACTTCTCCACACAGGATGTTGCTGCAAGTCAGGCATGAAGCTATATAAATGTAAAGTCCAACAGAGTGCAGTGTGACTGAACAGGGTTAGCAGGGATGCTGGATCAGTGGCATTATGTGGCTTGTTGGTATCGAGTCCTCATACTTGGGTCTTTAAGGGTAATATTGATCACGTACACTGGAAAGCTTTGATCAAGTTCCTTATAGCTGGTGACGGACAAAGGTAATGTGCCTTGTACCTTTCAGAGTGGAATTTCATTACAGCACCTCTTAATCCTGCATCTCAAAATCCCTTAGACATGCACGAAAGCACAATGTCCCCTCTCCCCAGATGAGAAACAAAGCTTCCAGACAGTGACTTGTCAAAAACTTGCCCTGAGCTTGCTTTGCTTTTCAATCATTTACAGTCTTGGGACTCACCTACATTTAAGAAAAAAACCCACATGTGAAATAGCTATGCCCAGCTACCACCTTTCAGTATGCAAAATGCCTTTGTATTGTTGAGCTTTGCCTTCTCTGAAAGACATTCTCAGCCCAGAGTAGTGTTATCCACCCATCTGGGAATTGGTGCAAAAAAGCCATTGTGCTCTAAATTTACACCTAGCTTCTATAACAATTTCCCATGTAGACAAACCCATAATTTAGGTCATAAAGCTTAGTCATTTTGTTGTTATTGTTACCAATTCACCCACAGGGCACTGGCTGAGGCCCTCTTGTTGTTGATAACCTAGCCAGAATGTGGTTGAACTACCCACTTAAATACCCAGAGATCCACCTTCTCAATCTGCTGTTGCGACTTCATCTGGAATTCACATTTTCCATGTGGCAGTTACCACAGTTGCTTCTCCAGTTTCTACTTGGCCAGTGGTCAGTCTAAGCTTTTTCACTTGTAATATATCTGCTTTGGTGTCTCTTTGGTCTTGTTTTATGCAAGGCTGTGGTTGAAACACTTAATATTTTACACTGTCATGGCCAAACTTCTGTGGAAGCTTTCTAATTTCCCAGACTTTTTACACACATAATTGTCATTAGAAACTTGTGAGATTTCACCTTGTCTCCTAAACTTGCCAAAAATCTTGCTTATTTTTCCTTGTTAACATAACTGTAGTTTCATAAGTACCAAACAATTGATCATGTTACCAGTAAAAATCCTTTTTGTGGGCTCCTGCAGTTACTCATATACATTGTTTCTTACATTGTTAACCCAGACACTTTAGGAGTAGTGTGTGCTGTTGTGACATTGTTATTCATGGAACATTTTCAGTTTCAAATGTAGTCTGGTTCATTTGCCTGACAAGTTCAATTGTTTGGAGACAATGCAGAATGGCAACAGACTTCTCAATTTTTCTTTCTATGTGAAAATATCATGTAAAGAAGCTGGGGTTGTTGATATTTAAGATCTCAGCTGGTGAAAGCTCAGCTGACAGGAGCTGCATTTCTGGAAGACAATCACCATGAAGAAACCTACGAGAAGAGATGGGAGGACACTAATGCTCTGTTCCCTTTGCAAGTGGGAGGAAATGCAAGCAAAGCTAATGGCACCCTTCCAAGGCAACGAGTATACTGTCTGTCCTCTAGTCACGCATTGTATGACTTTCTTGCATGAAGTAGAGGAAGACCCTGGACTTCTCTTTCCCAAGGACCTCCAAAAAGCTGTGGACAAATTCTGGAGCCCACCCAGTTATCAAAAAAGGTAAAGCAGGAGTAGCACGTGTTGAATCCCGATAATTTCCTGTACTGCCACTGTATGAAAAGGAGAGCCCCAAGAACAAGCAGCAATGATGTTGAAGCCACTGAGGTCTTGAGAGTTGAATGAGTTGTTGGATAAGTTATCCCCATCCCAGACACCATTTATAAGTGGTTGCTTGTCTTTGGCAGTGCATCTGACTCCTGGTAACAGAATGAAAAGCAGCCACTGAAAATGATGGATCCTGTGACACATAATTACTGTGGGCAACATGTGGTAACCCTGAGCCATGTTGTGTGGTTGAAATCTTATTTCCTGGGCCTCGGCAGCAGCCTGTCAATCTTACATTGCCAGCATCTAGGCATGTGTGAATAACTGACTTTCTCTTGTTTCAGAGTCAAGCTGAGGTTTAAAAATTTTTGGTTTTTCAAGGATGATTTCCCCCCTCTTCCACCAAAATGAATTATTGCCTCTTTAGGAAACACCAGTCTCTCTTCTAATTCAGGTGAATCCCATCTGCTGTTTTGAGATGAAAACTCCTAAGGATAGCAATAAGACAGTTCCCGAAGTCACAGGGCAGATGAGTCCCTCTTCAATTCAGGACCTCACTTGCTAGTGCAGTTCCTTGCAAGTTACACTTGTTTTCTTATTTTTTCTGCTAAGAAACTGGCTTTGAAGTGGCTTGTAAGCTTATACCAGCCACCATGATGCACAACTTCCTTTGACAGTTCTCTGAAGATTCCTATGGAAGATGAACAGAGGAGAAAGCTCAACTCATGTTTTTTGTGTGTTTTTTTTTTTTTGTTTGTTTGTTTGGGTTTTTGTTTGTTTTTGTTTTGTTTTTCAAAAAAACCCTACTTTTTTTTCTCCCTTTCCTCTTCCCTGAACTAGTGGTTTGAGAGTGATTCTGTACTTACTCTTTCAAAACAAAACAAAAAAACCCCATCCCAAACCCCAAAAAGCTATGTTAGCATGTCTGGAAGGTTTTGGGGACACTGCTGTTTGCCTGGGAGCTGTCCTGATTTTCTCAGGAATCTGTTTTTTTTTTCCCTTGTGATGGGCACATTGTCTGTGGTGCAGGGCCAAGACAACTCCTCTGTGGTTAGGGTAAATGTTACTTACCTCTTTTGTATTTCAAATTAACTTCTCCCAAAAAAGAGAATGCTGGATATGGCATGGCAGAACTTGAGCCCATGGGATTGCCGATTTGCCATCACAGCTCTCACTAACAGCCTCTACACATGCTTCATCTAATCCTGCTATTGCAGGACTGAAATCCAGGAATGCTGCAAGCCCCGATACCTTGTGATTCAAGGGATTCATCTCCTGGTGGACATGCTAAGTAAGGATATCTTCAGTAGATACCTTCAGCAGGGAGAAGCTGTGTGACTACTATCAAATCTGATAGTGTCCTCTCCCAACACTTTGCAAAACACAGGAGAGGGCTTACACTAGCTTCATGGAAGGGGAAGCAAAGAATCCCTTGTGTTGCTAAACGCCTTCTCTAGGTTGCCAGTCCTTGAACATCCTCCTGAAATACAAAGGAGCTTTGCTTTTGTCTACAGTCCTTAATGATTGCTTGCTTGAGTGTATCTACCCTACGTGACAGGCCCAGCAAGAATGCTTCACAGAGCCAATACTTCATTCCCATCAATGTTGTGCAGGTACAGGCAAAGTAAGGAGGAAACAAATGTCTGTCTTTTCAGGCTTTCTGGAAGTCTAGCCTCTGGTGACATCAGGCTTACTCCAGGTCTGGTAGTGGCTAGAAATGTTCATGCTGTCTATATCCCTGTGGTTGAACAGATAATATAAATATCTGTGCTTTCCTTTTGCCAAAAAGACAAACTTAAAAATCTTCTGGCCTTCTATTCTTCTCTAGCAAGATTTCTGGTGCCTGATCTTGAAGGGGGGACGCAGCCACATTCATATAGTGTTCGCTTGTCTGTAAGCAATGCAAAATGTCAGTAAGGCATTGGCATTATTTTGGCTTTATAGTATTTCTCCCAGCTGTGACTTGAAACAAACTGTTTTCATCTCCTTGTTTACAGGGAGTCAACCATATCTGGGAGAGCTTTCATTCTGCCAGCACCCGTTATCGGGCTGCTCACTAGCAAAAGGGATGCCAGCCAAAAAAAAGGCATCTCTCAACCTCGTGGTGACAGCTGAGAGGGGCTCTCTGTTAGAGAGACTCTGCTTACAAGCAGACATCAGTGTGGCCAGACAAGGATTTAACCCATTTCCTGTCTCCCATTCATTCGTGTTATGTTTCTTTCCCTTATTGCACAAACTGTAGCTCAGGGTCAAGCCTTTGACAGAGGAATATCTGTGAGGTCCCCAGCCTAGCAGCTTCGGTTGTGTGATGTCCTTGCTGTCTGTTCACTTGCTCTTGGGAAGCTGGCAGCTGTGCTTCTTTTTCAGGAGTGTCGTCATCTTGGCTGGGATAGGATGAGTTGATCTGTTCTTGCCCTCCACCCCAGACTCTTTATTTAGCTTGGGTGCTGAGTTGCTTTGGAGCAGTCTTGGCTGGAGACTTTCCCTCAGCAGATCTATTCTTGAACTCTCTCCATTTGTATAGTGAAGGCTTCAGCTTCTGAGCACCATAGGATATGCCTTTGCTTTGTCACGCTACGAAGTGAATGGGCAACTTTCCAGCGCTCTGGCTGAAGCTCCTAGTGTACTTAAAAATCACATGCCATTTATCTGTCTGAAGGAAGGGATAAAGTCTTTAGCTTGGTGTTTCAATGGCAACCTAATCTCTGGGTGTCTGCTGCCTGGATGGTTGCACCTAGCTCCCAGTAAACCCAGGCATCTGAACTATAACCCTGCTCCTGAGCAATCATTTTGCTGCAGGCTAATGCACAGTCCTATTGTGCTTAGGACACTACGCTCCTCGAGGCTCACAGAGAAGGGTGGTCTCCCAGGCCAGGAAACGAATTGAGATCTGCATTCAATTGCTGGAGGTTTTGTGACTTCCTGCACCTTTGGTCAAGTGATGACACCTTGCCTATAAGATGAGAACAGTACCTCTGCTGTCTTACTGTGTTTTATGACTCTGAGAATATACTAATATAGGTCT